GGATATTTCTGGCATCACAAGGGCTGTGCATACACTAGGGCGTCCGCAGTGTAGGATAAGCACTGGTAAAAGGTATAAGGAGTAGAGTGTCTTGAGGAAATAGCCGGCTTATGGTTATGGCAACTCTGGGGGGTAAATTTACCCCCCGCATATGCATGCATTAGGTTAGAACTAGGGGTTAGAACTTGTAACAGTGAAGTACAAGTCCTATGCAGCAAGCAGCAGCCGGCAGCAGCAGCAGCAGCAGCAGCAACCGCCAGCAGCCAGCAGCCAGCAGCCAGCAGCAAACACCAACCAGCAGCCAGCCAGCAGCACCACAGCAGCAGCGCAGCGCCAAGCCGCAGCAGCAGCAGCAGCAGCAGCAAGCAGCAAGCAGCAGCAGCAGCGGAGTCGTCAGCAACAGCACCAGCAGCACCAAGTAGCAAAGCAGCAGCTACAAAAGGGGCAACCAGCGGCAGCAGCAAGCAGCAGCAGCAGCAAGCAGCAGAGCGGCAGCAGCAGCACCGTTTACACCAAGCCACCGTTTACACCCAACCAACCACGTTCACACGTTCAACCAACCCCCGCTGCAGCTGGGAGTCGAACCGTGGGGGCGGGGAGGGGGGGTGGTTAGTGTGATATATCAAGCTTTAAGGCACACAGCTCATCCCACTACCAATTGCTAAAGCAAAGAAGAACTCAGCTAGCATGCTAGCTTTCGTGAACAGAAATGCTACATGACCAACGGAAAAGGGCCGACGCCAGCAGCGACAGACCTGGGAGACAAATGAATAGAAATGCTACATGGGCTAGTGGAAAGGGGCGGACAGCAGCAGTGACAGACCTGGGAGACAAATGAACCGAATTCCTGCATGGCCAGCGGACACCACCAGTGACAGACCTGGGAGACAAATGAATATAGATGTCGCATCGCCAGCAGACCTGGGAGACAAATGAATAGAAATGCTACACGGCCAGCGGCGAGTGGAAATGGGCGGACACCAGCAGTGACACAAGGGCGGACACATCTTAAGAAAGAATTGAGAACCCCTAAAAGTAAACTGTTTGGGGAAAAAGTGGGAGACAAATGCAAGGAAGTGGGAGACAAGCCGGCCGGAAACCGACCACAAGCACCCAGCCTGGGAGACGAATGAAAAGAACTGGGAGACAAGTGAAAAGAAGTGGGAGACAAATGAAAGGAAGTGGGAGACAAGCCAGCCGGGAACCCGACCACAAGCACCCAGCCTGGGAGACAATGAAAAGAACTGGGAGACAAATGAAAAAGAAGTGGGGGAACAAATGAAAGGAAGTGGGAGACACATGAAAAGAAGTGGGAAACAAATGAAAGGAAGTGGGAGACGAGCCAGCCGGGAACCTGACCACAAGCACCCAGCCTGGGAGACAAATGAAAAGAACTGGGAGA